GGTGTTATTGGTCTGTTCAGGATTTCTATTCCTTCCTTGTTCAGTCTTTGGAGGTTGTATGATTCTAATGTATTTATTCATTTTCTCTAGATTTTCTGGTGATTTTTTTTATGTCTGTGGTATCAATTGTAACGTCTCTATTTTTATTTTTACTTGTGTTTAATGGAACAATTCTTCTTCTCTCTGTTAGTCTTGCTAGTGGTCTATTAATTGTGTTTATCTTTTCAAAACTAACTTTTAATTTCATTGATTCTTGTATGGTTTGTTTGATCCCAATTTTATTTAGTTCTTCCATGATTTTTGTTATTTTGTTTCTTCTGCTAGTTTTGGGTTTGGTTTGTTCTGGTTTTTCTAGTTTCCTTATGTGGAAAGTTAGGTTAATTTATAATCTTTCCAAATTTTTTATGCAGGTATTTCACACTGTACATATTCCTATTAGCACTGCTTTTGCTGTATCCCAAAGATTTTTGTATGTTATATCTCCATTTTCATTTGTTTCATTTTTTTTTAAATTTCCATGTTAATTTTATCATTGACTAGAAGGTCACTCAGAAGTCAGTCATTTAATTTTGATGTATATGGATAGTTTTGAAAATTCTGTGTGATAATGATTTCCAGTTACATTTCACCATCTTCTGAGAAAATACTTGATATTATTTCTAATGTTAAAAATTTTTTGAGGCTTGCTTTGTGACTGTAGCTTAGCATGTGGTCTATTTTGGAGAATGTTCCATGCACAGATGAGAAGAGCATATATTCTGAGGTTGTTGGGCAGAATGTTCTTTAAATGTCTGGTAGGTCCATTTGTTCTAGAATTCAATTTACGTATAACATTCCTTTGTTTATATTTTTGTCCAGGCAATCTGTCTAGTACAGTCATTGGTGGTGTGGAGGTTGCTCACCCTCATTATATTGCTGTTTATCTTTCTACTTAGCTCTAGTCGTATTTGCTTTATGAATCTGGGTGCTGAAGTTTTAACTACATACATAATTAGTATATCTTCTTGATTTATTTATTATTATAGAATAAACTTCATCTTTTTTTTCTTTTGTTGATTTTAAGCCTTTCTTGTAAATAAATATAACTGTACCAAATTATTTTCTCTTCTGTTTGTACAAAATATCTGTTTCTATTCGTTTACCATGAATTTGTATAAGTTTCTCTCATTTAGGTGGATTTTTTGTAAGCAGTATGTGGTTGGTTTCTGTTTTCTAAACTTGGTCCACAAATCTACATCTTTTAAGTGGAATATTTAATCTATATATGGTGAAAGTTAACATTGACATGTGAGGTTTTGTTCTTGTAATTATGTAGTTGTTACCTAGCTGGTTTGCAGTCTCAACTGTGTAATTCTTTTTAATAAGACTTATGAGTTTTGTACTTTTACATGTCTTTATGATGATGAGTACTGACTGGCTGTTTCTATGTTCAGAACTCCCTGGATCATTACTTGTGGGACGAATTGTTGAAGTGGATTTCTAGTGGTGATGAATTCCCTTAGTATTAGCTTGTCTTGGACATATTTTATGTATTCTTCATTTGTGAAGCTTAATTTAGCGAAATACAAAACACATGTCTAACAAACATTTTCTTTTTCAATAACTATAAGAGAATCTTCCTTTAAGAACTCCAAAAATAGGATACCAAATTCTTCTGGCTTGTGAAGTTTCTGCTGAGAAGTCCACTGTTGGTCTTATGAGATTTCCTTTATAGTTCATGTGATGCTTTTCTCTTGTTGATTTTATAATTTTTTTCCCATTCGCATTGACTTTAGATTGTCTGATGACTATGTTTGAAGTTCGTCTTGCAATGCATCTTTCTGGCATTATCTGAGTCTCTTGTATAGAGATGTCAATATCTCTAGCAAGAGGAGATAAATTTTCCTCAGATAGGTTTTCCAAACTTTTAACTTTTTTCTTCTCCCTCAGAAATATCTGTAACTCTTTTCTCGCTTTTCAGAATGCCGTTTTTCCAACTTGTGACCTCAGATGATCCACCCGCCCCAGCCTCCCAAAGTGCTGGGATTACAGGGGTGAGCCACCGCACCCTGCTAAGAATGCCATTTTTCTCAAAACCTTTGCTCATTTAAAAAATTACTTGTTCTTAATTTTTGTCTGACAGGGTTAATTTGAAAGACCTGTCTTCAAGGCTCTTGGAGCAAGTTTTCCTGCTTGGTGTAATATATTATTAAATCTTTCAACTATATTTTGTAATTCTTTGATGAATTTTTTATTTCCCTAAGTTCTTTTTAAAAAATGTTTAGTACATTTTTATTTATATATGAGTTTTTTCCCCTAATTTCTTTGTGTTGCTTTTCGTCTTTCTCTTGGACTCCACTGAGCTACTTTAAAATAAAAATTTTAAATTATTTGTGTGTTATTTCAAAAATTTTATTTTGGTTAGGA